CACACACACACACACACACACACACACACACACTATGAATGGCGCACATTTCAGAAAAGTAATAGGATTAAGTGAAACAGACTGTCGGTTCACTCTGACCCCAGCACAAGCAGATCTACAGTATCACGTGGTCATGTTCTCAGCCAAGTGGGACAACAAAAAAAATAGTTCAATGCATACAACACAACTGTTTTGTGCAGTATGTTACGTGCTCTGTAAAGAGTTTGGAAGTACGGAAGTACAAATTGTACAGGTACCTGTGCTTTACTTGTCTATTGTTTGTTTGTTTTCCTGGTGACTTTTTTCAGGTCATTTTGCAGGAGACTCATTTATAATTTGCTGGCTTCAATAAAATCAGAGGGATTTACAGTCATGATGATTTGGAAAGGTTTAGACCTTGAGTGGTCTGAATCCAGACGTTTGTCAAACCTGTCAACAATTCATGAAACGTGATACTGTAAATTCACTTCCACCAGGAAAGAGACACGGGGGCACCCAAGCTAAACACTACAGGTACTTACTTTCTGAGTTTTGTTACGGTCTCGGTTTTGTTTCTTGCATCTTTTTGCCTGGTTTCATTAGAGCGGCCATCTTAGAAATGGGAATTGTCCCAGTGTTGCACTGACCAATCAGGAAACGTGCCAAGTGCGACAATGGACTGCCCCCTACATGTCAAACGTGGAACAAAACTTTTATTTTATTTTTTTAGCCAGTACTCATCTGAATTATACGCCTTTTCTTAACTTCAAAAAGACAAAAATCCCTACATGAGTGCTAAAGTTAGCACTCTTGGTATCACTAGCGTGGTGCATTAGCGGACATGTAGTTGAGTGTGCACGTGTCATGACAGACTGCCAGCGGCACATGATGGGGAGAGAGTGCCCCATTCACAAATTTAAAGTCACGCGGTTACTGTGTGTGTGTGTGTGTGTGTGTGCGCGCGCGCGTGTGTGTGAGTTTTTGATCCTGTGTGGATTACACGGGCCACCGCGTGTTTGTGTGTTGTCGCATCATGCCGCGCGACGTGTGCGCGTGCGGGCACATCCTCGAGCTCCTGATCCGATCGTCTGATCCCATCTCTTTGTGGCACACTCGGCCAGATGTTGCACGGATTACAACTCGCCGATTTATTCATGAATGGGAGTCTAAAAAAAACATTCAGGAACGGCTCCTAAAACTGTTTTGTGTGAATTACTGTATTGCTTTTTGCAGTAATAAAAGGCTATTAAACTCGAATCAAAACACTATTGTGCTGGCTACTTCCTCAGCATGCTACATAGCACAATACTTATTTTAAAAAAATACATTCTCAACAACATCATGAAAAGATACTCTGAACTCCTTGTGTCAGATTCTCTTTTTCACTCAAAACCTTTGTCTATAAATGAAAAAAAAAACACCAAGTCAAATGTTAATTTAATATGCAGTGAGACACGTTTTACGAGTCAAATAAAATCGGCGTTATTCTTGACAGCGATAGGACCGACCTAAATGGCAAAAAAAAAAAGTCACACCACACCTTCCATTCACATCAGTTTATTCTAATATATCTCTATCATATACATACAGTACAATATGCTCAAGACGTATGGCACATCCATTATTGTTGTACATTTTGCAGTCGCTGGTATTGCTGTGTGGCTACAGTATCATGTGAGTTTGTTCATCTGTCCCTCAGGTATTAGTGTGCATGCGTGCGTGTATGTATTATATCCAGCTATCTATCAATAGATAGATCGATATCTACCTATCTAGATATAGATAGGTAGATATCGAGATAGTGGTAACGACATAGATAGCTGTATCTCGATATCGAGCTATCTAGATCGATAGCTAGATAGCTCGATCTATCTAGAAATAGATATCTAGAGATCTCTAGATTTAGCGATCTCAAGATAGATCTGCATCTATCTACACACACACACGCACTCACACACGCACGCGCGCACACACACGCACGCACGCAACAGGTGGATTTGTAGGTTGCTACAGCAAGATCACATGCATTGTCAATCTGAAGATTCCACCAGGGGTGAGTCACACATCCAATTAGACACAGCGATGCTTGATTTGGGTGAGGGAGGCACTGTTGTCATGAGCTATAGGAAGAGGAACCCCCCCCCCCCCAATCCATCTCCATCAGGGTTGTTTTTGGAATGACGCTACAACAGCGGCTACCATGATTCCCGTCAAACCTCCGGATGGACGCAGGTTCACTTCCAACCGCTTAATTCCCTTTTCAATGTTAAGATAAAGAGCTGCCATTTTTGGTGTAAGTACGTACAGGTATATACATGAGTGTAATGTCTTTTTTTTGTTTGTTTGTTTGTTTTGTTTCCAGTCTGAGTCACTTTTCAAGTTCTGGGTGTTTCAATAATCCAGCAGGAAGAGAGGAGTAATGGTGCTTTCTACGGCGATACGTCAACACTAGATGAAGTGCTTCAGAGTCTTATTCACATATGTACACTAAAAGTCTGCTGCACACTGCACATTGGCTTGTGTGGGTTGTTGGGGGTTTTTTTTTCTTTTCTTAGCAGTGTGGACACTCCAGATAGAAAAATAAAAGCGATGGACTACAAAATATTGTGCGCCACCATCTTGACTCTTTCATTTCTCCCCGTTTTCATGAAAGTACACTTTCAGTCGTCTTTTTTTTTCCCCCCCAAGTCAAAAAAAAAACCCCCACACAAAATCTTAAAAAAATAATTTAAACATAAGGAAATAAAAACCAGAACAGTGCAACAAAATGTAACGAGATGAAAACTGCTCGGATGCTCCTTTGAACAGCAAGTGAAGTCAGTGTTTTGTATGGTTTAGTATATTACATGATTGACTGTGTGCAAACCTTTGTGCATAACAATAGTGCACTGAATGCCTCTCTTTTTTTTTTTCAAACAGGCCACATCGTCTCTTAACGTGTAAGGTCAGAATTTGGATCGCCTCCCGGGTGATCCCCCAAACAACAACGGTCAAGTGTGACGATGGACCGAAAGCTGTTGGACCATTGAGATGATGTCCAGCTCACGGTCCACACGAACACTCTTTGTCCTTATTACCAAGACAATTCGGCACACGAGTCGTTTGACATGTTTTGTAGCAATGATGATTTTTTTTTCCCATGACTGTATGAAACTTCTGTACAATAGTAGCACTTTGGCGGATCAGTAAAACAACTACATGTTACGAGTGAGGCGAAGCTGACCTCTGTTTTCTCCTAGTATTACGAGTGAAGCTGTGGCTGGAGATCAAGACCCCGAATAATTGCTCAAAAAGCCATTTGAGGATGTATTCAAGCATCTTTCATATCAAGCTTTAGGTCCACGTAGACCTCGTCGAACAAGTGGGACACAACTGTGCCTTACGAGTAAAAAGAACTCGTAAGAAGAGAACTTGTCAGGTCAGCGTTGCAAATGTGTTCTGAACTGCATGACCAGAATAAATAAAAGGTTAAATAAAATACATACAAAGAGAAAGTTTTCCTCACTACCGTATAACGTTTCTGCACACGAGTAAGCAGAACTAGTGGAGCATTTCAGTCACACTAGTAGAGGCTACTAGTGTGTGACACATGCCTACTCCATGGTCCAGCACTGCAGTTGACTGATTCTGTTTTAATTGAGGCCTGAACCGGCATTAGCAGTGGAGAGGGGGAAAAAAACATCGCCATTAAGACAGTCACCCTCGTCGTTCTACAAGTGTGCTGAATTGTCTTATTAGTGAGGACAAAGTGCATACTAGTACACGGACCTTGAGGTGGCTATCAAGAATATGCGATAAATGCTCAAACAGCTTGCCACAGCCGCGCGCGCCCAAGCCTGGATGAAAAGACAACGAGTGAGCGGAGGAGTGCGTACACTCCCGCCCCCTAGATGACCTGGCAGCAGCTGTGAGGGGTCGGGGTGCACAGCAGACCCTCCTTAGGACTGCGGTGGATGTTGACCGATAGAGTCTTGTCGCTCAGAGGCATCTGCAGGGCACGGTTCTTCATGTTCCTGTGGTTCTCGCGGGCCAGGTCCAGCTCCCCCAGCACGAGGGTCCCCGAGCAAGACCCCTCCAGCAAGGGGTCCGCTCGCGCGTCCCCCAAAGGGGGCGGCTGCTGGTAGAGGTTTCCCCGTGGCGACGGCCCCCCCAGAAGCGAGACCTTGTCCAGGCTGCCGGTGGAGCCGCCCACGCACATGCGCCACACCGGGCGTTCCTGAGGGTCCCCGCCAATGCCGACGGGGCCGTTGCCGGGCGTCCCCCCGCCCGCCCCGCCCGTCAGGTTGTGGAACTGCGAGCTGAAGCATAAACTCATCAACTTGAGGCTTTCCACCAGGCCACTGGAAGCTTTGGCCGAATTCTTTCCCTGGCCCAAAACGGAGCCGGGGCTGGCGCAGTGAGAGGGGCTGTCCTGGGCCGACGGCCTTTTCTCGCCGTCCTCGGCGCCCTCGCGGCCCGCCGCATCCGACGGCCGACGCCTCTCCGCGTTGTCGTCGCTCATCTCTGAGGAGGGAGTCCGGGTGGCGACGGGCGGCGCCGCCGGGCCGACGCTTTTCGGCGACGGAGGCGACGCCGCTCTCGAGTTCAAATTGAGGCTGAGGCCGGGCTTGGTCGGGCCCGGCCCTTTTAAGTCCCCGTCCCCCTCCTCTTCCTCGTCCTCCCCTTTCTCGTCCTCGTGGATCTGGTTGAGAACCGGGGCGCTCAAGCGCGACGTCAAACGGTTACGGGACGAGGCGATGGACGAGGAGACTTTGGAGCGGAGCACCACTTGAGCGGGAGGGGCAGAGGGGGAACAACCGTCCTCCCCCTCTTCTTCCTCATCCTCCTCCACGCTGAAAAGGCTGAGACTGCGACTTTTGCACGACCCCGCTGCGGTCAGAGAGCCCAGTCTGAGGGGGTTGGAGTGGGGCTTGGAGAGAGGCCGCAGCCCCTTGTCCGGGTTCTGAGCGGCTGTCTGCTGGTTCTCCTGCCTCTGACTGAGGTCCGGCAGAGCCGTTTTGGGCCGGGGCCCTTTATGGAGGCTTTCCGCGCTGCGGGCGGGTGACTGGGGCCCCCCGGGGTGTGACATCGCCGGACCCCCCAAGCCATCGCTGACATCCTGGTGGACATCCACTCGGGTGGGCCAAGACTGCCTGTGGATGGTCACCATGCAGACAAAGCGCAAGTGTTTGTTTTTTTGACCGCTGGTGTCTATGCATGCGTGAATTTTTCAGTCATAAAACATGTTTCGTAAGGGAAGGCCCAACGTTATAGGAATATGCACACAAAAAAATATAGTCTATAAAGTCAAGAAACATCGCTCTGCTATCCAAACAGTGTTTTAAAGTGAGCCCTTTTCTCTGCTAACAAAATACAAAAACATTGCTTGCTTTTAACAACCTCATCGATATGATCCCATTTTATTTGGTAACTGCGTCTCATAAAGGAGATGTATTATCATCGTGTTACCGATAAAATGAAATTGTATTTTAGAATTAGCTTCTTCGCTGCTCGCAAAACTGCTCACTTTCCTGTGACGTGAGCAGCTTCCTAACTAAGTACGAGTACAATTTATCCTCTCCTGTTGTGATCTGCATGCTATAAAGGAGATTTATCATTTGTATTTTTTCGGTCATCGTGTTCGTTTCCATTGTAAAACTAAACCGTGTTTTAGCGTTCACCTCTTCACTGCTAACAAAACAGCTCATTTCTTGTTAAACGAACACCCTCTTAACTCAATATTATCACATGATATTCCTTTGCGTGTCGTAAACTGCTTGTCCGAAGGGAGATTTTTCATTTGTGTTTTCAAGTTCTCGCGTCATCGTGTTCCATTTTAAAACCAAACCGAATGCTAGCATTCCCTTTCCGCCAACAAAACAGTGCTAAAAGATTCCTAAAAGATCACTTAAAACACTCTCATCACAAAATATTACGACATTAGATTGTTTTTGGTGTTAGCTGCTTTCCACGAAGCAGATTTTAATTTGTTGTATCGTGAGCACGTTTTTATTTTATTATTCAACTGTATTTAGCGCTAACAAAACATCACAAAAAGCTCCCTAAAAACACACTGCTTCAAACAGCCTTAGAACTAAATATTACATGTTAGTCTCTTGTACATTTTCAACTGCTTGCTAGAAGCGATGATTGACATGAGCGTTTGAAAGCGTTTCGTTAGCTCTCCATTATCGAGCTCAACTATATTAGCCTTTTTCCTACTTTCAAAAGAAGTGCGAAAAGCGAAAAGAAAAAAATCACAGCTGCCTCATGGCTCAACATTATATCTTTTTCTCTCGTGTGTCTTTAAATGTGTGTTGTAGTCAGAGTGTTCTTGGTTGGATGCGTGTGTGTGTGTGTGTGTGTTTTTAAAGGCGGCCATATGTCCCGATGCTGTCGACTTCATCTGCTGCAGATTGAGAGTAGCCATCGTTGACTCAAGGAGGGTGTGTTTATGGCTTGGAGACGCTCTTGTGCAAGGAGCACAATGATGTTGAACACTTTCTCTCGGTTATTTTTGTACCTGAACTGGGCCTTGCTGGGGCTTGGCGAGCGCGTCTGGCTGTGCTGCTCCTTCTCCTGCCGCTCCCTCAGCATCCTCTCAGCCAGGAGGTAGTACGTCGCCGTGATGTGGTTGTACTGATTTGATTCCAAAGCCCTGACAAGCGAGAGACGCAGCGCCATCTCAACTCTCACGTGACATTTCACTGCAACTACACGACTAAACCGGATTTTGCCATCCCGCTGCCGGTGGTGCAAAAAGTACCGAACCATTGAACAGTTGGACGTTCAAAAGTTCAAAGAGGTGAACCGCGGCACGTACTCTATGATGGCGTCTCGGTCCGCAATCGCCCCCAGCACCATGCGCTGGATGATGGAGCCGTGCTCTTCTTCCAGCAAACTGCGGTGGGACACCAGCGGGGTGGACAGCTTGGTGGCCGGCGACGGGTCGACGCCTCGCAGCCACGCGTGCTTCTCGATCTCCTCGAGAGTCGCTCGCTTCTTGGGGTCCCGCTGCAGCATGTGTCCGATAAGACTGAAAGAGTTCGCATCGTTATTAACCCCGCAAAAGTTCATTTGGGAGACTTTTGACCCACGTGTACATCGATATAGACAATAATATTAAATCACATTCAAATCTATGAGGAAAGATCCCTAATCTTATATATTTTTGTGTGTGTGTGTGTCGAATCATTCCCATCAATTGCACAAATAAATGTCCGAGTGTGTACGCCATGTTAAAATGAGTGTGAGGAGGTGGGGAGGAGAAGCCTCCACTGGCGTCTTCACACGTTGGCGGATATGAAATATGTAGCACCTGCCGAGCGGGCTCGTCCATCTGCGTGTGAGCGCGTGCGAACTTGCGTGTGCGCTCGTACGCGTGCGCGCGCCGGCGGCGACTCACTCTCGGCAAGCTCCGGAGATGTGCGGGGGCACCGTGTATTTGCAGTCCATGATCATGGTGAGCGTCTCGCTGTCGTTGGCCTCCTGGAAGGGCGGCTGACCGCACACCAGCATGAAGAGAATCACACCCAGACTCCAGATATCTGCGGGGGAGGTGACAGCGAGGCGTGAAAGTGCATCCATAAACGCGACTTTTTCACCAAGCGCTCCGGTTCAGTTTCGGGGGGGGGGGGCGGCTTTGCGTTTTGCCTGCCGTCTAAAGTTGTGAAAAGTCGACATACAGTATGTGACTTTTTGGCACCCTGCCACTGGAGCGTGTGAAAAGCAGCAAGGAAAGAGGAAGAACACGGCACTTAACTTCTTGTCATCAACGGCGCCGAGCCAAGACACAAAACACAGGATGTTGTCCGTTGTTAACTCCCCCGAGCAAAACGCCTTTGACAAAATCTATTCTTATGAAACTTTGCAGAGCGACTGGATGGCCAAGGTGCGCCATTACGGTCCACAAACATCCATTCGTTCGTTTGTTTGTTCAATGAACGACGGCGGGCGACAGAAATGCACTGCGCGCCTTGTCGTTATGGTCCACTGGCATCGGGGTGAATTGATCGTGCCGCGACGAGGGGGGAACGCTTTGACGGCCGTCTCGCTTTGACGGCCGTCTCGCTCGGCGGGATTTCTCACGAGCCGACGACATCTATTCGCGGGGAACCTTGCGGAGGAGCGGCAAAGGTGCCGAGCCAAAAAAGCCTCCGGATGCGGGTCAAGATCTGACGAGAGGTGCGGCGCATAGACGGCAGCTGGAGCTGCACCAATACGATGACTCGCACGAGACGGTTGAAACGAGCTCAACGACGAGTTGGATTGAAACGTGGCTTGCTCCAGTGCCCTTTCCGCTTCCTGACCTACATAAAACAAAAAACAACCAAGCAATAAGAAATACCGCATCCCCCCTTGAACCGCATTCATCCAGAGCGGCGGTCATAAATATGCGCCGGCTTTCATGCGCATCTGTCTGACTGAGAACAAAAGCTCGCCCGGCCCCGGAGCGCTCGCCCCCTCCCCGACACGCATGCATGCAATATCCCGGAAACTGGGTTAACGTGCGCATCTCGGCGCAGCGTCACACAAGTGCTAATTTCATGCTACACTTCACTTGGCCACTTTGGGGTAGTGGGGGGCAACTTTTTTTTGCCGCGAGGCTTTCGCCAGCTCAGTGGTCCTTTGGCACACTTCCTGCCGTGACATGTTGCAGTCTCAAAAGTGACAGCAAGGAACAATATGGCGACAAGACTGTGCTGCGATCCGTGATGCCGGTGACGCCTTACAAAGTAACGCCTTACTTTAATATTCCCGTTTTTGTTGCGGTAACGACTCATCAAATGCGTTACTTGCGTTTGTCCGTCGCAGGTTCCATCCTGCTCTATTCCCACAACTTCTGGTTGTTTCACGATGAGCGCAAAGCTGCTGAGTCGGTGGACAATTCCCTGCAGCTCAAATTCATTTCTTTTTTTTTTGGCATAAAATATTGATCGGCGCGGCCTTTAAAAGATGTGCTATTTCAAGGTCCTCTCCATATAATTTTACACGCATCTTGGCCGCCCGAGCATCTTCTGCTACGATTTATTCATGCCGCACTTGGGTAGCCGAGAGCTAAACTGGCGTGCGGGCATCCAAAAAGTTTTAGCGCACGCTTACTCAAGAAGTCGTTGAAAGGACTCGTACTGAAAAACTTATGAAACCCAAAAAAAAAAAAAAATTGTGAGAGGAAAAAAATTATTAAAAAAAAAAAAAAAAAAAAAATCATGAAACACAATGACAAAATGAAATGCAGAAAACACGCAGCGAAGCTAAAGTCAGAAAAACAACGACCGTGTCGTAATTAAACACTAGGGGATATGTTCCATCTCTATGAGGATCCACAAAGTGTGTTTTTGTGCTCGGAGGCGTCTCACGCTGCTTGCAGTCGCCATCTTCCCCCCCCGCCGACGTCTCCGAGCAACCGCTACCGTCTCCCTCATTACTTGCGTCAGCAGCGCGTTCCGCTTCCTTCCTCCGTAACTTCATTTCCAAAACCAGATGGCTGTCGACACATCGCCCGACGACTGCATTGTCAAAGCGGAATACGCCGACCCTCTCATGCGGCACAGTGAGAGAAATGCGGTGCACAAAGAGCATTACCTTTGTCAAAGATGAATTTTAGATGCTATTAAATTGGGCTGAAGTAGCGAATGCAGATTATTTCCTGAATTATGCATGTGCAACAGTAAACTTTCTTTGGTGTGTGTGTGTGTGTGTGTGTTCATGCAGCTCGACGTTGGTCGGGTGGAAAGAAGAAGTCTATATTTAACCCGACATTTGCAGGATGTTAAAAAAAAAAAAACGAAAAAATGGAGGGAGGGAGCTGACATGCTGCATAACATCAGGAAAGGAGAAGAGATGGGCACTTTTTACGCCACTTCTGGGTCCTTTCTGCACCGAGATCAAGCTGGGAAGTTTCTAAAGTCCCTTCGATGTGCAACCATGTTCATTCAACTTTTGTTAAAACGCATGAGCACGTTAAATTCTTCAGGAAAAAGCTCACAATCAATCTCTATTTTCAATCTCGATGTATTTTGGGCTGCGCGGACGAGCAAGAAACTCCGAATGGGGGCAAATGAAAACTCGGACAGTCTTGTTATCTCTGTTCTAAAGTGGGCTCGTGGCCACCTGGCACACTGCAGCCTGGTTACCTTGAAGTCCTCGATACAAGAATTCCGGTTTGCAGGATTATAATTATGACGCCACATTGTTCCCACTTTATGACAAAATGCACAGACGCAGCACAAGCGCAGCAAACAACAGACAGCCAACACAATTGGTGGCGCGACCTCCCGTCCGGCTGATATTGTCCAACAACAGGATGGCATTATTTCACTCTGGAGATTTGGAGAACGCTCATCTGCTCGGCACAAAATAAGAGAGGCACAGAGCAGAAAATAGCGCCACTAATCCATCCAGTGAGAGAGAGAGAGGAAAAAAAAAAAAAAATGAAAACGCTTCTCCATCGCCTGCTTTCTCCATTTTGTGCCCTGGCGTACAGAGCAAGGAGACATTTCCTTCTTAAATTGTCCACAATATAAATGCGATCTTTTATGCTCTTACGTCATATTTTGATCTGTTCTCAACACTGATTCTCGAGTGTCATATTTTGGATTTTCAAAGAAAGCTAACGCAGTTTCCATTACTTCCAATTGAAAACGCTGTTTCGCAATTAGAACAACTTGGAAGTCAATCGGCAACGGACTAATTTCAACCGGAGGTTCAACTGGATTCCCCTTTGGTGTTTTTCTACGAGAGCGCAACCTACACCCCCGCCCCGTGTCGATCTTGATCAGGGCAGCTTTGTTCAACACATTTCAACCGTGCAAGTGTCTATCCAATCAAATTTCGTCCGGTGACGTTGACATTTAGCAGTTGACACCTTCGGGCAATGTGAACCTTGAGCTCCTTATCAGCCTGCTGATAAAGCTGACAGTGTGGGGACTTGCCAACGCACATCAGCTCTTATTTAGGAGAGAGAGAGAGAGAGAGAGAGAGCGCATGCTGCTATCAGTGAGCCGTATCAGCAGAGCGGGCATGAATGTGAAAGTAATACAGCTCTGGAGGACAGTACAGCGTGTGCCACGTGGACAGTGACAACAGCCGCCAATGATGTGCGCAATGTTGTGCCACAGCATTCCATGTAGCAATGAGCTCCAGCGCAAGGTCGGTACGACAAGAAGGTTCCCTGACTACAACAAGCACCTGTAAATAAATTAACAAAGGTTCGAGTTCCAACTCACCGACGGCAGGAGCGTCGTATTCGTCCCCGAGCAGGATCTCGGGGGCCGAGTACGCCAGCGAGCCGCACGAGGTGTTGAGCTTCTTGCCGGGCTGAAACCTGTTGCTGAAGCCGAAGTCGGTGAGCTTGACCACGCCCTGCTTCTCGAAGAACACCACGTTCTCGGGCTTGAGGTCCCGGTGCACCACGTGCAGCCGGTGGCAGTAGGAGATGGCGTGCACGATCTGGGCGAAGTAACACTTGGACACCTGGAGGCGGGAGACGTGGAACGTAAGTAACGCGTCTACACATGACCGAATCTCCATGATTTATAGTCACTGATTTTATGCTTGGACCGAAGCCCTCTCTAGTATAAAAGCATTGCTTGGGTGCCAAAGAACGATGTTCAAGTGAAGGAAGGAACTTTAGTTGGACAGGCCATCATTGTGTCTCATCTAAGTCATGAGTCGTCACCAACTTATCGCATCTGAGTGATTATAAACCTTTTGGGTGGGCCGGAAAATTCTTACTTGCGTTCACTATTGGAAACAGAATACAAATAAATGGGTCATGCGCAGAACAGTCTGGCTAATTTACAAGACCTCCACGCCCAGTTTCACCTCACATGACTTGGCAGCTAGGCTAGCAGAAGGCACAGAGCCACGGCCGTGCACAAATGGAAAAATAACGGAAGAGTGTCATGTCGTGACAAAGACAGCGCCCAGTTTCACCTCACGCGACTTGGCAGCTAGGCTAGCAGACGCACGGAGCCACAGCCGTGCACAAATGGGAAAATAACGGAAGAGTGTCATGTCGTGACAAAGACAAAAGGGAAGCAAAACTTCATTAAGATTTGTGAGCTGGAGAGATTAGGATTAGCTGCCGCCTGATGAAGTGCTGCTCGCACAAGTGAAAATGCTTCTATTGTTTAAGATGGGCGCTTCCCTTTTTTATTTTTTGCCCAAGCTGGACTCTGCTCTTGCAAGTTCATGATGTTGTGGTGTCGCCCCAGGTCGTCAAGGCAACAAAAGTCACACTCACCATTGGCCCAGCGGTAAATGGGGGCGGAGTGTACGGTCGACAACTTGCATTTATTACTTTGGTGAAATGGGGGGTGTCAAGTGCAACATCAATCTTGCTTTTCGGGATATTTTGTCACTTTGGCATGTTATTAAAAACACACGGGAAAAGGAAGCCATATAACTCGGAGTATACGGTCGACGACTTGCATTTATTACTTTGGTGAAATGGGGCGTGTCAAGTGCAATATCAATCTTGCTTTTCGGGATATTTTGTCACTTTGGCATGTTGTTAAAAACACACGGGAAAAGGAAGCCATATAACTGAGGCAAAAATGCTTCATATGTCTCCTTTCAGGAAACTCTTGGCCCATGTGCCACGACTTTAAAAAAGGGGAACCGATTAAATCATTTTGGCGTAAAAATCGAAAAAAAAAAAGAAGAAAGAAAGAAAGAAAACACCCATTCAGGATATGCGTCATCTGTGAAAATACACAATGCGGCTCCCGGATTCACAATCAAGTTGAATGACTTGTTGCTTGGCTCAAGTATGCGTCATCTGTGAAAATACACAATGCAGCTCCCGGATTCACAATCAAGTTGAATGACTTGTTGCTTGGCTCATTTCCCATCCGGCCACAAAGTTTGGTGGAAAGCGGTTGTGCAGTTTTTTTTGCGTAATGCTGCTAGGGGGAGACAAAACAAACACACCTTGTAGTCATAGTCGCATGAGCCCAAATGTCAGCTTTCTTTCTCCCTTCGCTTTCACGGCCGTTCCACTACGACGACGACGTGCACGATTGCGCCCGCAGCGCGACTCACTTCCTCACTGAGGCCTCCCTCGTGCTTCATGATGCAGTCGAACATGTCGCCGCCGTCCCCCAGTTCCAGAATGAGGTAGAGCTTCGTGGCCGTGTCGATGACCTCGTACAGGCGCACGACGTTGGGATGCTGCACCAGTTTCATGCATCGCACCTCCTGGAAAAGGTGGCCCCGCGCCACCTGGTCCAGCTTGGTCTTGTCAATCACCTTCACCGCCACCTGAGACGTCAGGGAGCCAGTCAGAAGGAGCGCGCCAAAAAAATAAAGCAATCAATGTATCAATAAATAATCGGGGAAGTGTCGACCTTTTCTCCAGTGAAGACATGCCGGGCAAGTTTGACCACAGCGAAGTGTCCGCGGCCCAGCGTCTTGTCCAGGTCGTACAGCCCGGCAATCTTCCCGTCATGGTGACGTTTGAGGCCCGCCATGGCCTCTGGCGGGAAAGCGAGGGGAGAGGGGAGAGGGGAGAGGGGGGAGAAGTCTCGTGTCACCCTTTGGTCCCTGCGTCAGATGTCCATCTTCTTTGACATGTGGCTCGACTGTCAGCGGAGGCGTGTCACAACAAGATAAGAGGCGGCCAGAGGCTGATCTGAGATCAACTGCTTGCTGGGGTGGCTTCAAGGGACGCCGGGTAAAAAAAAAAAAAAAAAATCACCTTAGTCCCATCTTGTCATGCTCTATGGGGGGAAAAAAAGAAGTCATGCGTTAATCACACACGAAAACTTTTCCAGCCCATTCGGGTATGAGCTGGAGCGCCGGAGCTGAGCCCAGCCGCCTCTCCGTGGTCGCCAGCCAGTCACGTGACACACACAAACAAACATTAGCACTCACATCCATCCCAATGGAGAATCTTAGAACTGTGAGGCAGACATTCTAACCTTGATGTCACCGTACTGAGAACAGTCACTTTATTTCGAGAAAAAAAACAGCCTCCAACACCGATAAGTCGTCTGCCTTCGTAAACTTAACTGGTCACCATTACGATTAGTAAGGAAGAACTTTTGTCTCGTTTCCTGTTTTATGAGTGTGGCCCATACACTTCCAAATGTTATGACGCATGCCACTGCTTTGTTAAGTTTTATTTTTAGAACAAGCGGCGGCCTGTGGGACAGTAAAAAATGCACTGGGATTTTTCGAACGTGCCGAGTGGCTGCTGCGATGCGACCGTTACAAGTTGCTTGTTCAAAGGCACGGGATGTTGCATGAAGGCGTTCAATTGACTTCCCGTGTCCTTGTGTGTAGCCTTCATGATGACTTTTTACCGCGACACTGTTGGAACGATCCAGACATTTTCCAGTCAACACACATTGCTCACGGCAGTCACAAGTGTGTTTTGCTTTTTTGTGAAGCTACCACAGAAGAGAAGCTGATGTATTTTTTTCACGATACAGGAAATTGTCTGCTCAGTAAAATATGGCCATTGTAATGACTATCAATTATCCACACACAAATGTACTTTATCAATAGCACAGACTGACACATTTATCTCTCAAAATCCAACAATGTATTCAAATGAATACAGCGTTGATAAGATTTCCAAAGTAGTATTTCCTTTTCGTGTCATTCCCAAATGATACCGTGTCATGCCATTAAATCGCCAAATGATCCAAAAATGCATTGGTACCATAAAAGCCGTTCAAGCTATAAAGCAATAAAGTTCCAATAATGAGGTCAACTCACAGGAGACCGTTAGCCCATGTTCATTCCGGTCACCTAAAATCACGCTAAAAGGCTCCCAGCGTGCGGGACGCGTCGTTCCTGGCATACTTGCTCCCAACATCGGCCTAATGGCGTAACAACGCCCGCAGGCGGGAGGAGCGGCCTGACATTCTTGACTTCCACGAGCCTACCTGCATGCCGAGCCGACGCGGAGCGCGCGACAGGCCCGCCAAGTACGGGCCCGGAACATTCCTGCAAGGTGATCCACACCTAAGGTGTGCCCACACTCACCTAAATTCAGAGAAACAATAAGGACAAAGGGGAGCTGTTGCCAGGGAGCACACCTTCATAGGGAACAGCAAAATACAGCATGCAAGACAGAAAATACCGCCCACCCGCTGCAGCGGGCCGGTCCACCAAATATTCCAAACATCTCTGAGTGTGAGGAAATTAGGACTGTTTGGCACGGCCTTAAATGGCAGTGCCATTAATCAAAATTTTAAAAATGCCTTTTTTTTCCCCCATAGGAAATCAGAACTATAGGATATTAATTAATGAAAACATACAGGAATGACATCATAAAATAGAATGTAAAGAACGTTTGGGCAAATTTAGAGGTGCAATTCAATGGACATTGGGTTGCTCCTTCTACTCAGCTAGCCTTGGCTACTTTACAATACAGACAAATGGATACACATGGAGACGGTCACAACCCCTCTGTAAGCTGCAGCAACGGCCATTCTTAGTCTTTTAACACCATCGTCTTCTTCCATCAGGCTCTTTTATTGCCATTTGCAAACAGTGCGAAACTAATTGCGCTCATCTTTGTCTGTCGCTGCAATTCATTGATTGTGGGGGCTGGAATGGATGGATTCATGTCAGCTCGATTCATTTCAATGAGGAAAATTGATGCGCTACTCGAGTAAGTTGAGTTACGAGCTTGGTCATGGAACACATTTAACTCGTAAACTAAGTTATCACTTTATCAGCATTTTTTTTCGGGGGGTGTGGGGGGGGGTCCCAGATTTGATTCATCTCTTGCGTTGGATCTCATTCGATGGCACGGGTGTACCTAATGACGTGTCCTGCTTTAAGCGCAGCGCCACACATGGCCATGTTACGTGTGCTCAGCGTAAGCATGTGTTGGCTTAATCTCTCCTTGACGCTCCGGTTACCTAATAAGGCGTAAGTGTGCGAGCGCTTCCTGTATATCCACGAACGAGTGGACGTTGCGTCTTGAAAATGCACGTCAGGAGTCTGTTGCGTAAGCGAGCAAAGCGTGTTCATTTTTACAAGGGTGCGGGAGTGTACACATGCCAATACTGTACAACATATACCGTGTCAAGGAATCCAGGCGGTACTAATGACAGGCGCCAATATATCATAGGATGTGACATATGATAACGACTGAAGACCACACGAGCAATAGTTGTCACGAGGGTTTCCCAAATTGAAGAGCTGGGCCTTTAAATACGGTCATTAAACAGGCACGCACAACTCATTATGATCAGTTTTGGTGCGTTTCACGTTGATACGATGGCCATGCACAAACCCACCGTGATAACACAGTTTTCTAGGAGTGGCGACAAACACATGAGTCACATTAATATTTAATGCAAACCTACTCAACTCGATTTCCATTATGGCAGGGTATCGCATCTATATGCGTACTGCAGCAACACAAACACTAATCACCATCCTCGACAGCTAACGATATAAACTCAACACAACCATTGGAAGTGCATAGACGATATTACTACGACTTCTTCTTCTTTGACTACTACTACTACTACTACTACTACTACTCGTGCAATTTTCTACAATTGTTTTGGGTCGCTAGTGAGAGAGCGCCTATCTCGGCTGACGTCTGGGAGAGAGGTGAGGTACACCCAGGCGTGGTCACCAGTCATTCACACGGCACATAATGACAATCATTCACACTGACAAACCATGTTGACTGAAATAAACCTCAAAAACGCCCCGCAGGAAAGCCGGAGCAAAAAGTGGAACTCAGAACTGCGAGGCAGATGAGTTCACCAGAGTCATCTGTTCTTTTCATTAACACTTATTTGCATTTTTTTTTTTAAATGTGAGTAGCATCTTGATCAGTCAATTTCTATTTTTGTTGGCTACTCACATTTACACTGACAATAAAGTATTTCCATTCCATTCATTTAGTGAGAAAATCACCAAATGCAAAGGGTTCAAAGCAGAGCTCGGTGAGACACCGTGTGTGGATTACAATATGGAGTCATGTCTCCTCCTCATCCGTTTCTTTGGAAGCGGAAACAGTACATACAAATGAGATGAAAATATAGACTGTATATAATGGAAGAAAAAAAATTATCAGTTTTAGGGGCAGCATAGTGAGCCTTGTGGTTAGCATGTTTGCATCAGAGCCAGGAGGCCGTCAGTGTGGAGTTTTCTCTTTGCAGTTTCCAAATCCGTGCACGTTAGGATCATTTAAAACGAAAGTGTCCACATGTTTGAGAAATAGGCATGGTGGAAAACTCCCTTTCGCAGTTCTGAGGTTGGAAGGTCAAATCCCAGCTCCGGTCTTCCTGTGTGGACGTTACATGTTCTCCTCGTGCTGGCGTGCATTTTCTCGTAGGTTCCAATGGCATGCATAAAGTAATTAAATAATGAGCCATACGTGATAACCATGAATCCACGGTGTTGCCTACATGTAATCCAAAAATTATAAATTTGATCATACTGTATGATTATTACATGGTCAGAAAAGTTTACTATTGTCTTTTTTCTAGCTCTTCCACACTTTCCAACCATATTTGCTAATTCTATAGAAACCGGATGGCTTGCTAGATGGATGGATGGATGGATGCTTTGTCTTTTTAATCCCCTAATCCATCATGCATTACTGCTTTAGTTCATGTAAATAAGGGTGCCTCTTTGTGTACATTTTTTTTTGTTTAAAGCACAGCCAAATCACATTTTAAAATGCCATTCATAGTGAAATAGTTTACTCCAATGCGTCCAATAATAGCAACAGTGTCAACAAACCATTGTTAGATTTTCACTGCTATGGTAATAATGGCCATATGGGTCCCTCAAAACTCAATCCAAAAGAAATTCGGATTGACAACAACGCAAAAAAAAATCCCGCAGTGGATTCAGACGAACCTGGCGAATTTGACATAAGTGATCACCCGGGCCCACGGAACCAGTCTTTGCCTTGCATGCGCCGCTTACCACGGAAGGAAGCAGCCAGCCAGTCAATGCTTGTCCTCTTCGGGCTCCCCCTTAACCAGACGGAAAGGCCGCACGGGGATCCGGCTGCTGGAACTGCAGCTTTCGACGACGTTTCGACCAGCCAAGTTTTGGGTGATGCGCGGAACCGATTGAGGGTGAACAACACGGCGTTTTAAACCCAAACAGCTTCCGAATAAAATTTGGACGGCTCTCTCCCCTCACCGTAGCTCGCTCCAGCCCTCTCGTTCGATTGCGTCAAGCGACGGATGTGGTTAGCTCGAACACAGGAAGTGAGCGCGGTTGGAGTTATCAAAACACAAGATCGTTGTATTATTAACGACTCTTCAGTCAATCGGCCCTACATTTGAAGAGGTTTAATAAAGTGCTGTTTCAAAGCACAAACATTAGATTGACCCTGCCAGAATATCATTTTGGTTCGATACGAAACCCTAAAAACGAAACATGAGGGGGCGAGGGGAAGAAAGACATAAAAACATGTTAAACTCGACACGAACTACAAACGAGTGTACCCATCCCATGCCAGATTTCATTTGCTAATTTTCATTTTCGTTTGGTAATTCAAACGTCAACAATATTTATTTTTTTGAACAACAAATTAACCAGTTTCCGCTTGTGTCGCTTTCTGCACAGCGTCAACTTGATTGTCACTGCGCATCGGCCATCTCTGACGTCAGTATTGCGTTAATACGCTGAATATTTACCGAGTTCTTTTCATAGTGCAACCCACCAAAAAAGCAAACAAACAAAAAAAAAACCTCACAGCCTTATTATGTATAATCACAGAACAAGGGGATTCGTGGAACTGTATAAATTCAAAAGCACAACGGCTGATTATGGAATTAATGTGTGTAAAAAGACGCTAGCTGCATAAGACTGTATACTGTATGTGAATGTGCTATTTGCAGCACGACGGCGTTATAATTGGCCGCGCACATGGACAATGTTCTAGCCGGTTATGTAATCACCAGTCGCTCTTGTACGGGTTCAAGTAGGACCTGTTTGGCCGATGAGCCATCACTCACCGGGATTACGGCCAGTGAGTTTGGACTGCGGGGAGCGCGACATTTAATTTAAAAAGATTTACACACAGGACAGGTCGGTTAGGTGTGAGAACCGCCATAAAACCAGAGAAAAGCGATGTTTGATTTTGCGACAACCGGAGCTTCCTGACTTTCACAAGGGGGACGTAAACACAAAGCAACAGTCCCAATGTACAGACCGCCCTCTACTGGTACAAAGAAGCATTTGCTCTTTTGTTGTGTAATGTCGCCCCCCCCCTCCTTCCTTCCACATCCATCAGTAATTAACTCCTAACACATACATTGTACCATCCATCAATTGTCTGAACCGATTACATGCCCGGTAGTAACCTTAGAAAAAGGTCTATCACTCACACACAGTAGAATTTCCATAATACTCCTGGCCATTTATTATATTTTCATCTATTCAAATTTATTTTAATTTGCCTCACTATGGCAGTCAATGAGAATAGCGCGCTATATTTAGACAGCTCCAGCTAAATTGCTGAGATTTGCACAACATAGCTTACCATACAGATAGTGTTCCGTTACTCTGACTGAGCCAGCCGGCTGCTGCAAATAGCAGAACCCCACCTGTAATTGATGCCTCCCCAAAAGGGTTTAAAATTGCTTTTAGACACCACTCACAGCTAAATGAAACTAAAACTCAGTCCAACAGTTCCTTACCACAAAGGTTGGCATCTTTGTGGTAAGGAAATATATAGCAAGCAGTAATTTTCTCAAAATGAAGCTCCTCAATAAGTCAACAAGGTTCTTTGGGACCAAAAATCAGCGACATGGCTACAAATATTTGTATTATTTTCAACAAATAACTGATTTTCAAAAGAAGTACATGCCAAAACTGAACTTTGAATATGCCCGGGGCGGTTACTGTACATATTATACAGTCAAATGAATAGACCCATTATTTTGTCCGCCTAAGTTTTTCCATCCCTCTCAAAAGAGTTCAAGTACAACCATAGTGTCGAAGGAGCCAAGACAAAGGCGTGGAACCAATCAGAATGTTTATTTTGGACAAAAATAATTTCACTTCTTCTTCGTTGCCGCCTGTTTCTGGAGTTTCTTCACCTCGTGCTTGATGATCTTGTTCCTCTGCACAAAAAAAGTTCACAAATACAAATAAGCACTTCAAGCCGTTGCGGGTTAAATCTCCCAAAAGCAATCCTTTTCACCCACAGTAACAAAAGGCCAGCCATTTTAGCCCCGAGTTCAAAGAGCATCAGTAGAGTTGAACGGCACATTCGACAGGAGCGCGGCATTCTTCCTTCAGTCAAAGTCTTAAAGATGTCCACTCACAATAATGTTTCGGTGTTTGTTGGATCAATTACAGACTGAAGATCCTCCTCAATATAATCATGACATTAGATTTACCTTTTTTTTCTGGACATAGCAGTACCAAGTGCAAGTATCAGTGAGCGTGTCCAATCTGTGGCCTTTTCTATTTTACATTCTAGCAGAAGCATGACTGACTGGTGTTTGAAACTGATAAGTTCTTTCCACTTTGTCGAAGGGCTGCAGTTCCAGCTGAAGAAAAACAGGCCCAAAGTCTCAAACCGTGATGCTGCCACCAGCACACTGAACTGAAGGTCAGGTGTTCTTTTGGGTGATGAGCAGTGTTGTGTTTATGTTGTGCAATTATGGCCCAAAAAGTTCAACGTGGACTTCATTGGACCACACCACATTTCCTCCCGTGCATTCGGGAGGTTCCGAGTGTGGTTTTTAAAAACAAGGTTGAACAAAATGTAAACACTCTTTCAGATCACTTACCATCCTCTTGGCTTTCATCACCTTGTAGCGGTCGAAGTCGGACATTTTGGCCCTCTGCAAAGAAATGTGACAAAAAGTCAAGTTATATGCAGCCTATGCCTTTAACCCAGGAGCAAGGGATTGAGGAAAAGCAGGGAAAAAAACCCTATAATATCACAAACAGCAAACTGTAGCTTTCGCGCATCATATTGTCCTTTGATCAAAACTGGTCTTGCAACCCTTCGGTACACTGTCAGATGTTTCAACACAAGACAATCATTTTGAATAATCAATCGCTCCGGCAAACAATTTTACCTTCTCTCTTGCCTCGATCTTCTTGGCCCAGCTGCTCTGTTCCCACTTCTCGTTGACTCCGGCCTTCTCCCAGGCTCTTCTGACAAACTTCTGGCGAGCACTGTGATCCAGCACACAAAGACACAGATGTGAAGTAGGCAATGCACTTTCAGCAGCCTGTTTCCAAAACAAAGCGCAAGACACGGATACAACTCATTCCTACCTGTGAGGTACTTTGATGACGTAGTCTGTGAGCTGCATGCACTTGAAGGGCATGGCCTGCCTCTTCACACCAGTGCACGGACCGTCAACAAGAGCCTGCAAACGTGGCAAACGACTCACTTACGTTTTGCTAAAATCACACAAATCAATTATGTTCAGTCGCAAAAATAAAAATCACATTATTTTCAGAAAGCACTCACCCTATTTTGGTCGATGACATCGACAATGGCCACCAGCTTGCCGGCGTAAGGCCCGAAACCAATGTAGGCGACGCGGCCAATTTCGACAAAGCGCTTGAACACCTGAGAAAGTACACATCGGAATGTAAATGCACAAACCTGAACAAATAAACAAACAATGTAACCAAGCGAGAGAAAATATTTGTTTGAATCTGATTCTGACTTGGCATGCTATTTTTAAAAAAGAAACGCTCGTCTTTGACATTTTTGTTCATTGTACAAAAATAGTATGACGTTCAGATTAGTTTGACCAGTAATACCGTAATACTTTCGATTTTGTGTTGATGATCGATCACAGCAAGCCACGTAATACGAATCAATATTGTACGCAAAATAATTCAGGTGGTCAATAATTCAACTGGTTGATGTATAGTTTGTACGAATACACGAACAACATTTGAGGGTCAAAATGTACACAAATTGGCGGTACGGTGGATAACTAGTGAGCAGGTCGGCCTCACGGTGCATAGGTACAGGGTTCAATTCTGACTCCAGCCTTCCTGTGTGGAGCTTGCGTGTTCTCCTTGTGTCTGTGTGGGTTTCCTCCCACATTGCAAAAACATACATGGCAAGTTGATTGGGCACTTCAAATTGTCCCTAACTGTGGTTGTTTGTCAATGTGTGCCGTTCAATTGGGTGTGCATAAATTGGTCATTGTGGACTGCTTCAGATGAATTCAGATAAAATGCTTTCAACAACGTGTGCATAGGTATCGCTAGAACGAATCATCATTCACCAAGACGCCATAACAAAATTCGAAGTACAGAACGTCGCTTTGAGCATGGGCTAACTACAACATTCCGCGTAGGAGCCGGTATGAGTGACACAAATCGAACCAGACCGTGCAATTTACTACGAAAGCGTATTACAGTCACATGATAATGATGGTGGTTTTGGTCACTATTTTTTTATTTGAAACCCGTTAGCTTAGCAGGGCTGCTCTCGTCCCCGTCTACCGTCAGGACCACGTTGTACTGCGCTTGATAGCCGACATTTTACCGAAATGTAATACAGTCCAAAAAACGTACGCAGTGGCGTCAGACAATTCGAGAAAAGGTGTAAGAGTGTTTTTGGTTCACAAATGGCCATTGTTGTGGCAAGTGGAAGGCACATATAAGAAAAAAACGTCGCCGTGAAAATGCTTAGTCGGTTCAGGCAAACCTACCATGATGGCAGCTCGGGAGCAGAAAGAACGACATGGCTTCCGGCCGAAGCAAACGTCACATCTGGTTAGATGGTGCGCATGCGTAATGTGTAACTATTCAAAACGAAATTCTTACTGTATGTAGTTTATCCGTTTATGTTGAGTAGTTGTTGTCCATTTCAATTTATTTCCCCCGAAAGTTAACATTTTATACTCCCAAAGTTAACATGACACATGGTCTAATTGGGACATTTTATTATTTGATTTTCATCTTAAAATAGAAAGCCCAAAATTGAAAGACTCTGATTTGTTTCGTTTGTTATCTGGAACGAGTCAGGAAAAGTCTAATGACAGTTTGATTTTCTATTTCTACAACGGAGTGCAGGACGGGAATGGAAAAACGCCTCGTCTATTTGGCATTTCCGGAAGTTGTCACCGACAGTATTTTTCACACTAACCACAAGATGGCGCGAGCGTAGCGCCCGAAGACGATGGAGTGTTGCGAAACGATAGGCAGGTTGCTCTACTAAATAGCGTGCCACACTTTATTTTTGTGGCGTGAAATTGAATAATAGCGTGCCACACTTTATTTTTGTGGCGTGCCACACTTTATTTTTGTGGCGTGAAATTGAAGCAAGTCAAACCAACGAAAGTGAATTATTTGCCACAAAGTACTCCAAACTGGCTTTTATTCCGCAACACTCCATAGTTTTAAGGCGCCCGCTCTCGCCCTCTTGTGGTCAGTGTGAGAAATACTGTCGTCGATAACTTCCACGAAACCGAAAAAAATAGCCACGCCGTTCTTCCATTTGTGAACCGTGCTACTGTATGTTCTATTTTCATTTTTGAAAAAAAAAAGAAGTCTGTGATTAGACCTCCCCTTACTCAGTCCAGACAACAAACTAGAAAATCAAACTATTTAAATTTTGGTGTTTCCGATTTTACATTACATTGATAGTAAAATAATATTTTTTCCATTTTTCATTACATTTCCGTTCGCCTAAATTGGCCCAAAAGAGTATGAGAGACTTTTGAGGTATGGCTCAAGCAAATAGTGGAAGCTTGTTCCACCCCTGGCACATTACACCACCTCCAAAATAATTTATAACGTGTTGCTCCTGGAAAACAGGGCGAAACAGCCCCAGTCAGTCGCAGGTGTTATATAACAGGCCCCGGGCTTAGTGAAGCTGTCATCTGCTGGAATTGTAAAACAATGGGAGTGCAGGGTCAGAGCAGAGCATGGCCCCTACTGTGATAATAACATTGTCGGGTGACTATATTTAGAGGCTCCTTTTGCCTCGTGTGCGTGTACACTTGTAACATTACTCTTTTTGTGGGGACATAAATCTGTTTACATGACGCGCCCTCCTTCTGGAGGCAATGTAAGGCCATCGAGCCATGCTTGCACACACGTCAACGTGATGTCATCCAAAGGTGTGCGTTTGTGCTTGCAGCAACACACACACACAGTTTGGGATAACATCCGGTACACTCGCACTAAGATCCATTGCGGAAAGCCTCTGTAAATTTGCTGTTTTTCCTTCCGCTGAAACTGGGGCCTTAGATAACGTAAAAGGAACCTTCAGACTTTTGCTAGACCGAAAAATAAAAACAGCAAAAGCTTTCAAGAACAGCTGAAATTTGGGGTGAATCAAATGCACTTTAAATCGTGGCAGGTGTGCGCTGACGCAGCCGCTTCTCAATTATAAAAGGGTGTGCACATAATTCCAGCTTATTTTCACCTCCCCTCTCAAAAGGATTTCTTTTGTGTCCAGGTTGTTGTTGCTCATACTCCTATTAAGGGTGGAAAAAGTTTTGAAATGATTTAACCTGACCTCATCTTTTAGATCACAACAACCTAGCATTTGAATTAGGGGTGTGTAGACTTTTATACCCACTGTAAGTGACTTGATAAAGGACGCCCATTGCTAGTTGTAGTTTCTAATATGTAGGTGGCTTTCTGTTACTTTTTTTTAGCTCCTTGAGAGAAAATGTGCAGTTATATTTTACCATTCCGCAATGAAATGGCTGAAATGTTTTGCAGCACAGCTTGCAAGACCACAACTTCTTACCAGCAAACTGAAAAAAAAAAAAAGAAAATCACAAAGAGGCTTCAGATGATTTCACGTCCTGTGTTCATTGGCTGCCAGCCAATCACGAGGAGATAAGCCCATCAACATTGCCAAGTTGCTCTCAGGGTTATCAGCGCTGATGTTTACCCAACCCTGGTCACCACATGTTCTCAATTTATACTCAGTGGACACTCCAGTACCTCCGAAAGTCCTCATCCACAGCATTAATATGCGCACTTTTGAGCGACACCATCAGACAGGCTCAGTCGTACGTTGACTTGCAAATGTTTCAAAATTTGAGCCATCTCTCAGACAATTATTTTTTTCTTGCCTAGACTTGCAAGCAAAAATTTGCGCTAAGAGTTCTGGATGGCGTTGGACTCAATTCCCCTCGAAACAAGCAACAGTTTGGCATAAAATGAGCAATTCTTCGAAAAGAGGCTCGATGCCACTCCCAGTTGAAGTGCACTGTCAAACTCAACATCAAACAAAGTGACTTTTACACTTTGTATTGAAAACAAGCACATCTTAACGTTAACGATACAAATTGAGCTGGCGAATGAAGAGCATTGACGTTGCGTGTTATAACCCATTTTAACAGCAACGGGGCAAATTGAAAATCTGTCAATATGCAAAGTCAGGTTTCATCCCAAGTACAACGCAGCAAGAATTTTGAAAACCGGATGACGCGTTTGGAGAATTGGAGCTCTGTGTGTGCGTGGGAGGGGGCATTTTAGAGGCATTTGAGGTTCTCATTCCATTCTTGTATACTTGAAGTCTGCAGTGCATACGGATGCTGATGCAACTTACAGGTCACATTTAGTGCTGAGTTTGCTTTATGTGCTACATGTTATAAAGAGTGTGTGGTGACTGTGAACATTTTGTCCGAAAGGATCTTGCCAGGAAGCCAAGTGACAAAGTCCATTTCGGGAGTGGTTTATGCTGGAGCAATGGGTCAAATAAAATCCGCATCCAAGAGCTCTAAACCTCTGTGAAATACTGTTTACTGGGACTGCGGGATCGTCATAAAAATGTACATTTTACGGACAAAAGTATGAACCTTGTCAACCACCGCTTGACCCCCGGAGCCCAATAATTCCTCATCTTACTGAGACATTTGCAACTTTTGTGGGAATAGTTGAGTGTGGAAAATCTTGAGAGCTCCATCAAACACTTTTAAAATGAGCCACGGCAGAGATGGGGCCTTCTTTGCCCAACATCACGACTGCTCATCTCAAATAACTTGTATGACTGGACAAAAATTCCCACAGGCATGCCTCAAGATCTTGTAAAGAGTCTTCCCAGCGGAGTGGAAACTGGGGGGGGGGGGGGGAGGCGCCCCCCAGTTTCTCCTCAGTGTTGTTGCAGACCTCAGTGCGAAAAAAAAGTGCGACGCGGCGTTTCAAAATCTGTCCCTCCACAGTTTGAGGTCCGCAGTGAGAACTGCGGCTAGCCGCGTGTTTGCCGCACGTTGATCACGTGACTTCACACAAACCCGCCCACCGACGACCGCTGCGTGCGCGTTAACCTGCTGCCTTGTTTCGCCTCAGGCGGCCGATTTGCTCGCTTCGGCCTCATGGAAACGTCAGCCTCAGAACACAATTTAGCCAAAGGTGTCAGACAAGGATGAGGCGAAGCGAACCACTGTCCACAGCGCTCTGAATTCAAACTCAAATCAAGCGAATCACATAAGGTACTCCAAGCCGCTGGGTGTGGCGTTTTATAGGTGTTGCTGGAATGACATTTAAAGGGTGTCTCGATTGGCAAGCGTACGTAAGACGAGGTTACATAAGAACATCTTGAGCTTTGTGGCCATGTCCTCAAAAGCCCTGCAGTTTTGGTGGCGGGAATTTCGCTCTGCCGCCACCCGCCCGAAAATGGCTTTGTTAAAAGCTATTTATAACGGGTTATATTAAATAGTTGATGAAATAATTTGACAATTAGACGATCGGTCTACACCTTAACTCTCTCATGAACCAATAATGATAACCTGTAACCTGATAACATGATTAACTGTAGTAACCACTGTCCCTGATAGGATCTGCTTGATATTTTTATTTTATAAAAACTTTGATAAACTACGCGACAGTATTTTCCTTTTTTTTTTTTTTTTTTTTTTTTTTTAATGTTTTCATATTTCTTTTCATCATGATCTTGCCCATTGACAGAATCAACAGAATCCAACGTTGCCCTTTAGCAGTCCTGGTTCAAGATACGGAGAGATTGTAAAATGGTGCCTCTCTGGTTATCATTCATGACGCTTTTCTTCACTGCGTCATAAAAACATGAACGTGTTCATCTTTCTTTCGATGCCCACTCAGCCCAAGTCTCATTTGAACTCTGAGCTGACTTTAATGGCATGTTGCGCATTTTCGTTTTGGGCTGAACTTCCAAAGTCGACTATTTGGGGCTTTGGAAGTTCCTTGACGATTACTGAAAATTCTGGACAAAATCTTTCACAATGAGACTTGGACTGCTTCGACAATGTTAGTCTTTGTCTGAATTTGTCTATCTTCAAATAATGAGCCAATACATCAAGTTTTGGGTCAACGCCAGTCCATGGGATACAAAAGTTTAAGGCACGGCCTTCAAAACACACACACACACACACACACACACACACACACACACACACACACACACACACACACACACACACACAGAGACGCCCCCCTCCCCCCCTCCCACTTCCTGTTGGATTTTGTTCTCGCTGTTCTCAGAAACCGAGTCATGACTTTGGAAATGGAATGTTCTGGACCTTGTCAGCAGGGTTTGGGACCAATCAAGCAGCCACAGTCCGCCGGGCCAAAGTCTGACACACTCCACGCTGCCCAGGTCAAAGCCCGTTTGACCTTTGCGTGCCACTTTTGAGGGAAAGCTCCACCGCGTCCGTGCAAAGCTGTACGTTTGCTGCGAACGCTGCCCGCTTCACGCTCGCGAGGTGTTTGCTGTTTGCTGCGGGAGGAACAGTGTGATCAAAGTCTATTAAGTTGGACAAGAAATGGCCGAAAGGGCTTTT